TTGACAGTCTGTCTTTGTCTTAGTAGAGTCTTTCAATGGCATGCTTCAGTCCTCTTTCTGGTTACTTAAAAAAGTTAGAATATTCTTTTCCATTATGAATAACAATGGTATGACCAATTATTATAGGTATATTATTTTTATGTTTAGCTGATTTATTTTTCTAAAAAAATGATTTGTTACAAAATGATTTTTTTTATGAACACATCACAATTAATTACTAAATTTGTTATTCATTGTCTTAGATGGATTAAATCCATCTCTTGTTTTAGGGAATAAAAGTTTTCCAAGCAAGTGAATCTTCAGGATGCCTTCATTTTCCACTATCAGTACAATCCTTCTCATGTCAAGTTCTTAATATGGAGTAAACAAATAATGACTGATAATTTTGATATTTTTACAATCAAGGTATGGTTCTTCCTTCCCTGAACAAAATTGACCTCCTTCCTTGTTTTCTTGAAGATCCAACATCATAGATGTGGAACAAAATTGACCTCCTTCCTTGTTTTCTTGAAGATCCAACATCTTGTGGTTACTGTGAACGAGTCTATCATATAACTCGATTTCATCTTAAGGTAAGTTCAAGTTTCTGCCATTTATGTAAACAAATATGTTTTTCTTATACATGCATTTTTTCCTTGATAACATGTAATTTCTTTGTTTCCTAAATAAAATCCCATCTAACTGATTCTAAAATTATGCCTTGATCATTGATCATGCTTTTGTTGTGTAGGTATAACAATCTTAAGTGGTGAAGTCGTGTAGAGGAAAAACAGTGATATTATTCTATAAGGTAAGGGAAGCTAAATTTCTTTAAATTTTAAAGTCATATTATTGAACTTAAATACTATGGTATGAATATGTAGTTGCATAATGAGTAAAATTAAGAAATTATTGTGAAACATATTTTGGTTTGAAATGTGAAGTTTATTAAGGCTTTTAATGTTGTGAATTTGTAGAATTTTCAATTAAAACATATGTATGATTGGAAGTATGTTGGATTGATGAATTGTTTAGAAACATGACTGGAGTGTTGATGCTAAGGTTTGTAAGAACAGAGAAGGGAGAATCATATTTAGTATCATAGTAATGAATGTAGCATTTTGTGTTGCTTATTAGAGTGTTGTATGCATGTAAATATAAATAAATTGTATAATTAAAAATTTATACAATTAAATTTTGTACGAAATTATTTTTACAGTTATATTTATAACCTGTGAAGAAAAAGGAAATAAGTATTTTAAAAATTCATAAAAAACTATAAATTATGTTATAATGTCTTATTTTCAAGGAGAAATGTTAATCTAGCATGAGATAAAGAGTATTGAGAAGAAATTGTGATATAGGACTATCCTGACTCTAGAGTCAGTGATACATTCAATTCAATATATTAGTGTTCTAGAAGCAAATTATTTTTGTGTATACCTGAGTAGAGAATGATTAGGAAAATAAGATTGTAACATATTTCAATTCTCACAAAACCGGCTTGTAAAGTAAAGTTTGCATCCACTTACATGTAAGACTTTCAACCCACCCCATCACACTAAGTTATATACATCTCGTGAGACTAAATATTAAGGGGTGATCTGATAGTGGATGAAACAATATACCCAACAAACTGTATCATTTCTCGTATCACTATTTAGAAAGACTTTTGATACAGTAACAATTATACTCACTGAACCGATCACCAAAACTAATCATAGACTCTGATACCATGTTAAATATAATAAAAATTAAATATACAAATAATTTGCTTTATTTTGAATATATACGTCACATTGAAATTTATCTAACAATGCAAAAATATCTTTATATCAACAAATGAATTATCAAATCTAGCCTTAATATACTGATAGTTTTAGACAAATTTCATCTACACTGGTTGGATAAACTCCAAACAATTAATATTAATAAGACAAATCTTAATTAAATTTAATAATAGCACCAAACCCTTACCAACAATCACACTAGGATTATCACAAACAATATTTAATAAGTCACCTTCATAATATTTTCAGGTACGCACACCTTCTTACTTTGCTATGACTTCACCGATTTGCATTAATGCAAAATTTAAAAACAATGAATTAATAATTTGTTAGTAATAAAAGATATATTTATAATAAAGAGAAGAAATATGAGAGAAACTGGGAGAGAAAAAATATTAGGTTTTACTAAAGGAAAAGAAGAGTATGGGAAGATGATTTTGGCTGATATTATCAAGATGGCAATGAAAGTGAATGACCCCAAGGGCAAGCAAGGAGGATAGCAATTTCGAGAAGATGATTCAACCATGATAGGGTTTGAAGAAAAAAACACCATGAGAGTTTGGAGACAATGGATTAACCTTATAGATGTGTTGTTAATCTTGGTAACACATTAGAAATGTGTTATTACTCTTGATAACTAAAAGTGAGGGAGCAGGTATGATTACTTTAAATTTATTTTTAAATAAATTAAAATACTACTTTGAAATGTTAATTTTTAAATTGATATTAACTATTTCAACGTTATAATAAAATTAATTTATTAATGAATTTATTGTTATTATTTTTAAATATTCTATAAACTTACAATTGAAAAAAAAAAGTGAAAACTTAATTATTTGCATGAACATTTATTTAAAAACGTTACAGTATTATTATTATTATTATTATTATTATTATTATTATTATTATTATTATTTATTAGTTATTGTAACATTTTTTAAAAGAAGTATCACTATAGGTATACACACACATTTTTAATAAATGTAACCAAAAGAAAGTTACTAAATATATGAAGTATTATTCTACCCTGTGCAGTTAAACCTTAAGATGATCAATACCTCATCAATACAATAATAAATAACTTAAGATAGACAAGTCAAATAAGAAAAATGTATATAAAAAAAAGTTTTTAAGCAGTTGTGTAAATCTGAACTGAAGTGTGCTTTGATCCCTACCCTTGGTTTTAAGAAATTTTTAAAGTTTTATTGATATAATGAAATTTTATAAGATTAATTCATTATAATTTAAAAAGTTAATTTAAATATTTATATTTTGACCTATCTCGTTAGCAGAAAAATGTTAAATATTAAATATAAGATGTATAATTGAGTTGAAGGAAGAGTAAGAAGTGTGTTTGAGAATTTGAAGTGAGAGAAATAAGAGAATTAGAGAGATGAGAGTAGTATTCGAAGAGGTTGAAAGACCACGCGTCCCACATTGAATAAATAGAAGCTGAGATATTCCGTAAGCGTCAATAGACTTTGACATGCGGTCCCACACGTGTCCAGATACCCTTTCTTACGTACATCGTTTTCACTGGACAACTGGAATCGCTAGCTACTCCCCCACTCAACAACTTCCATATTTGTAGAGGACATTTAGGTGTTTTACTTCTAATTCCCAAAATTAAGATGAATAAACATAAAAACATTAAGATTATAGAACAAATAGAAAATAGAAAATATCATGATGTGAGAATTGAGGAGTACTATCTAAATACACTAATAATATCAACCATTATTGAACAATATATATATATATATATATATATATATAAATTTGTTTTATTTTCACTTATATTTCTCTTCTAATTATTACATGCAAGCTGTTTTTTAATCAAAATAGAATTAATTATGTAAAATTTCTTTTAACAAACTTATTAAAAAAATTATTTTATAATGACTTGAAATCATTTACTGTTGAAGCAAGTAGAATGCATAGAGGAAGTTGTATTTTAATCAAAATGGAATTACTTACATAAAAGTTATTTTAAAAAATAATTTAGTTTATAATTATACCATTATACGGTTCAATTTTAAAATGATGTTCAGAGTTGTACAATGTATATTCCATTCCAGTTTGGATAAAGTATGGAATAATCCTTAATAATATGAATATAATAATCTACAAGTATTTTAAATTAATAATACATTAAAAATAAGAAAATAAACTCATAAATAACTTAGGTAAAATATCTTATAGAAATATAAAGTATGTAAAAATTCTTTACTAAGATGTATACAATTATTTTAATCATGAATCACTTAAAAAAATTAATAAAATTAAAATTATTGTATAAAAACCATTATACTCATTATACTAAATTGATTATATATCTATTTTTATAAAATAAAAAAGAAAGACTTAGTATTATTTAGATTCAACTGATGGAAAAAAAAATTCAAATCTAAATTTTTTATGCTAATAAAAAAATGGGTGAAATGTATTTATTTTATCATTTATTACAACAAAATGTAAATATTAATGAAAAATTAATAATGTATTTACATAATAAAATAATCTCAATATGATCAATTATCTCTTCCAACATAATTAATTATATAAACTTTCTTATAAATTGGCATTAGGGTTTTTTTGTGTTTGTTAATTTTCATGTTAAAAGTTATTTACTTCACCTTTTTTATTTTTTATTTAAATTATTTGTCATATTATCTTCTATATTCTCAATTTCATTTAAAATATTTTTTCTCTTGGAATTATCTTCTCTCTTTGATAGAAGAACAGTGTAAATAATAAAGGCGCGTGATATGTACGCAAGCCGTCGTGACTAGCTTTAACAAACAAAGAATCTCGTATTCTGCTACGAAGACACGTGGTGACATCCCCAGCAGAGCGTCTTAGGGAACCGAAAAGTGAAATACAAAAACAAAAAAAAAATTGTACCCAAGAGTGTAACTACATAATTAATTAAGCATTAGTAGTAATATGGTATAGTAATTATAATTTGCGGGTGAAGGGGAAGCAGAAGAGAAAAGAGAGAAGCAGAGAAAAGAGAGATGAGAGTTAGGATATAGAAATTGGAAGGTAAGAGAGAAGGAGAGGACCACATGCGTGTCCGAAAAAGAAGAAGGGTTGGAGCTAGCGTGGATGGAAATGATTGGTGCCACGTAGGGATTTGAGAAAAAAGATGCAACACGTGTACGGGAGGGAAGAGAAGGGGTAATGTGATGAAGGGTGGAGATGGCATACGGTGCCCCTGACGGTGACGGGCAGGCTGCTCTAGTGGCCCCCAGCTGAAGTGAACAATTGCTCTTTCTCTCTCTTTTCTCTCTTTCTCTCTCATTCTCACCGCCTAAAAAACCTTTCTCCCCCAATCCCATTTCAATGGCACTGTCCTCTTCCTCGAAAGCCTTCCGCTTCCGCCTATTAGCGCTCATCGCTTTCTCTCTCCCTCCCTTCCCCAGTTTAACTATCTCTACAATTTACTCCTACTACAACAAATTCTCTCTTTCTCTCTGTTGATTTCGCGCCTATATAAAGCACCTCTCAATGGCTGGGATTTGCTGTAGAGTTGTTGGAGAAGGTGACACCCCTACTCCTCTAGAACCAACCTCTCGTCCTTCCACCCGCAGAACTATGGATATCGTACCCTTGAAGTACATAGCTGACATGGCTGTGCCCGACTCTTCCCGAAAGCGCCCCAAGCTCGATCTCAATGACACTGATAACCAACTTCAAACTGACCGGGAATCCTCCGGAACCAAGGTTATGAAGAAGGATTCCCAATTCCTCAACAACGAACAAGACGACGATGATGTTTCAGACACTAAATCCCTGACAGACGAGGATGACGACTCCGAAGATGAAGAGTGTCCCAAGTATGGAGTCACCTCTGTCTGTGGCAGGAGGAGAGACATGGAGGACTCCGTTTCCCTGCGCCCTTTCTTCTCGCTTGAAGGCTTCCACTACTTTGGCGTTTTTGACGGTCACGGTTGCTCTCATGTTTGTATTCTCCCTCTGTTCAACTCAGTGCTTGCTAATGGATCTGGTTCTGTATTATCCACTTAATCATTTCAATTTTTTCTTTCCACAGGTTGCCACTATGTGCAAGGAGAGGCTCCACGAGATTGTGAACGAAGAGATTCTGGATGGAGACGACGCTATACAGTGGGGAACAATGATGCAGAGCAGTTTTGCTCGCATGGATGAAGAGGTTTTCCGCCGCAGCCAGAGCAACCAGACTTTCAACTGTCGATGCGAGCTCCAGACTCCGCACTGTGACGCAGTTGGATCCACTGCTATCATCGCCATCCTCACCCCAGACAAGATTGTCGTTTCCAACTGCGGCGACTCCCGTGCTGTTCTCTGCCGTGGCGGAGTTGCCATTCCTCTCTCTTCGGATCACAAGGTACCATTCTCTCTCTACTAATTTCCAATTTCCTTTCATTTCATTTCCCAAGAAACAATTTAACATAAGGTATCTTTAAAGTATAACGGTTTTCTTGATCCCTTTCCTCAAAGGATAACCGTTTTTGGATCCGTGTTGTTCAGCCGGACCGCCCCGACGAATTGCTCCGAGTGGAATCCAAGGGCGGGCGCGTGATTTACTGGGACGGCGCAAGAGTGCTGGGTGTGTTGGCCATGTCTCGAGCCATAGGCAAGTGAATGAACAAATAGCAGCTTACTTTTTTTTATTGTCACTATTCTCCATCTTAGGTTGAAGTTTGTTAAGTTGTAATGGTAGTGTTACTTGTGTTTATTCAGGAGACTACTACCTGAAGCCATTCGTGATTTCGGAGCCCGAGGTGACTGTGACTGAGCGAAGTGATGATGATGAGTGTTTGATACTGGCAAGTGATGGACTGTGGGATGTGGTGTCAAATGAAACTGCTTGTGGGGTGGTGAAGATGTGTCTGAAGTCGCAGAAGCCCCCGACTCCTCCGGGCTCTCCTGGTCATGGTTATGTGACGGCAGACGGCTCCGACCGTGGTTGCTCGGATGCCTCAATTCTGTTGACCAAGTTGGCTTTGGCAAGGCACAGTGCCGATAATGTGAGCGTGGTGGTGCTTGATCTGAGGAAGGATCCAGAACAAACATCCACTTCCACTTCCAGCTACGTTAACGAATGAATGCAACAATGGATGAAGGGAGTGCCTCTTCAAAGCAGCATAATGGGCACTTTCACTGCACCGCACACCCTCTGTTTCCGGTCAATCTTCAAGGTCTGCCTTTTGCTTAATAATAATGTTGTTTCTTTCTTTCTTTTTTTCTTTCCAAGTGTAATGTTGTTTTTTAGTTTCAGAAAAGGAAGAGGAAAAAAAAAATGTAGCTTTCGAAAATGAAACAAAATCATAGGGAAATTTCGTTGTAGGGGAAATTCGTGTCGACTAAGGATTCAATGAAACCGTCGATACCCTTTTCTCTTTTGTCCATAATCGACTCTATAAATTGAAGAATTTTCCTTTGGTTCTCGCGATGTCTATGTCAATTCTATTTTAAGTTTTTCTCGGGAATGTTTGAACAAAATTCATTGCCAGAAGCATTTGTTATTCTTAATTTAACTTGTGTCCCATTTTGGTCTCCGTTCTTTCAATCTTCATTAAATGTTATATTTCTTCACACGACTACACAAGAAAGCTTCGTATTAAAAAAAAAGCCAAAACAATCACTCTCTCATTCAAGAACGGGCTCTTACTTCAGCAGGAAAATATTCACTTTCCAACATAGCTGTTTAGATGTTGAATGAGTAAGGAACAGATAATTGCTTTCTCTGATTCCACGCTCCCAAACTCTTCTATATCCAAATAAAGGATTGAAATTATCTTAACCGGCTCCATTAAGCTAAATATAGTAATTAACTTTCGTCTTTAAATAGTTATATTTGATTAAATTTTAAAATACTGGGAAAGAGATGCACTTTAGTACCATGTAACCAGTTTTTTAAGTACGTGAGTTCATCCAATTATTCTTTTTTGAAGTGTGCTAACTGAATACAAGAATAAATAATAATATGAAGGAAACGAGATAGAACGTGGTACTGAGCAAGTCACGACATCATGAAAAACGATCAACGTGTGAATTTGTAGAACCAGTTGCGTGATTAGTTCTTGGCAATAACAATTTGAATAATGCTTTAGTCAAAATTTAAAAGGAGCACTGACAAATGCATCTACACTATACCCCTTTAATTACATGCTTCGAATGATTTCCTCTCTTTTTAAGGATTAAGTTCCATCATTATTTTAATGGCTAATTTTAAGGAATGTTCTATTTTTTTCATGTTTTTGTCTGATGGTTAATAATGCGGATCTCTTAATTAATGGGAAATTTGCATGTTTTGGATAATTCTGAACATACTTTTGGTAGCTATGATAAGGACACTGTTTAAGAAATTAAACAGAATACAACTCTCTTTTTAGAAATCGTATAAAAGCACATTGAAAAATCAATTCTATATTTCTATTAATAAAAAATCTCTTTCAATTTGTTTATCTAGATTCTCTGCCTCTTCCACTAGTATTCTATTCTTGTAAATGAAGATATTCTTTCATCTTTTACTATGAAAATACATATAATGGGAATTCAAAAGTGGAATATTTTGTGAATGTATCTTAATTCCGATTAACTTACATCAACATATTTTTTTTTTCATATCCATCCTTGAAAGCACATTGTTAATATCGTTGTCTTTCTTAGAGTAATTACTTGGTTTTAACATTTATCCTTGAAACAGCATTGTAAGTATCTTTCTCTTTATTTGAGTAATTAAGCTTAGTTAATATGAAATTTACAAATGGATAATGATTTTATTAGTTTTTTAGGTAATATTCACATGTGTCTTTATAAAATTCCGACCTTTTTTTAACTTGAAAATAATATAAGAATGTGGATGAAATGCATTTTTCACCTAGAAAATACTCTAAAACTATACTTCTTTAAAAGATAAATTTCTTTTTCATTAGATGAACAACAGAGAGCAAAATACAAAATTATTATTGTCTTAGTTTGTCTTTGAGCATTTTTCTAAAACAACTATTTTTTTAAGAATTGAAAAGAGTAGTACAAATGTAAGGGTCTAAGATAGATAAATCTAAAAATTTAACTCAAGCTTTTTAGTAAGCCATTCAAAGATAAAATGAAATAATTTTAAGCAAAGTTTAATTTATCAAAAGGATTTGTAGTTTTTTTTTCTTATTTGTGATATAGTTTATACAAAGTTTTTAAAAAGAAGCTTTTTGGGATAAGTGGAAAGTGTTTTTTGATGGTGCCATTTAAGATTATATTGAGAATAAAGAAAACCATCAATGAGCATTAAATGATATTTAATGTCTTTCATTAATATCTTCTATGTTAATATAAAAGAGTTTATTTATCTTGATGCATTATCTCTAATTTTGCAGAATAAGTGGATAAATGAATTATAGCGATAGTATGATTCTTATTAACTAATATTATTTTACTAAGACAACACATGTCATGATTTTGATCATATATAACAAATAAGGTTAAGTTTTGATAGTTTAGTTATATCTTTTATAATTTCTAAATAAGGTAAAGTGAAAAGCAAGACAAATCTTCACAAAGATCATATGAATCTTTATAAGAAAAATTGTTTAGATTATATATAACGATTAGAAAGCAACTATTAGAAAATGTTAACAACAAAGAAATAGATATTGAACAAAAAGAAACAAATTTAATTTATTGGACTTTTTACTTTTTACTCACTCAACTCACGTGTTTATATTAATTTTAACAAATAGACCAAATCATTGTAAAATGTTTTCTATACTTATAATAGGGGTATAAAGCTCATCTTAGTGCGAGATATTTAAAGTGTCAAACAAGATGACAAAAAAAGTATTTTTTTCATTTATAAAATCTTTACTATGTAAAGCTCTCTTTATCAAGACATTAATAATTTATATTTTTCCATGTGAGATTTGTCCTTGTAACCAATCAAATAACTTTTTTATTGTGACAAAAGTGATAGTTAAAATATTTGAAAAAATAAATCATATGTGGCATTATTAAAAAAGATATTTTCTTTATATTTTAGGAGGAGATAAAATGGTTAACTAAGAATAATTTTTGTGTATTCGTTACAAAACATAAGTGATAATTAGAATACTTATTGTCAATTATTGATTAATGAAACTCTTTATAATATGTAAAGCAAAGCAATATTGAATGCAATTCATTGTTGAGATGAATTACTATAAAAGATATAAACATTATACTTTTTTGCACCTATATTAATTTTTAGTTATTGTTGAACACATATTCAAAGTTAGTTTTTACAAGTAACTTGAGAGAACGTTTTGAAATACTTTATCAAATGATCATTGTTAGATAATTTTATTGCCATTGTCTAAACATTTTTTAAAACCTATTAATCCTCGTTTTAGGAAAAATCTTTAACCCTTTTTATATTTATTTTCATCATCCAATTTATTGATTGTATTAAAAAAAATTGAGTTTAATTTTCATGTATTATTATGATAAATCACTTTACTTGTCGAATAGATAAAATTTATTTAATTTGTGAGTTTTAAAATAATTATTATAAATTTGATAAAATCACAATATTGTCATTTCTCTCTTTTATATATAATATTTAAAGTTTAAATAAAAAGAAAGATACAAGTGAAATCGTATTATTTACTCTGAAGCTTTTTCAAAGTAGATCCACAAGAACTTTCGGGAAAATTAAAAAGAAAGAAGAAGATAATTCTATAAATATTCTTATTTGTTTGTATTATAAATAAAAGATCAAAATGCTATTGATGTGTTATGACTGATGTATTATGAAATGTTATTATGATTATGATGATGAAGAAGGTGCGTTGGGTAGCAATAACTTGCAGACGCCACAAAGAGTCACATATCAAATTCGACAATAGATGTAATTTGATGACAGTGCCCTTTATTTGGGACCCAAATTGTCGACTCAGGAATGGATAAAATGCTGTTCCTCTACATACTTATATTCCTGTAGTTCTTTTCCGTACACCCTTTTTGCAATAAAAGAGACAGATCAATAAATGTTTTAAAATAACATGTTTTAATTTAATTCTTAATGATTTCCTTGTTTTTATAAATATCGTGACATATTATTTCTTCTAACCCGAAATTCAATAAATATAATAATTGATGGATAATCTTGAAGACCGAATTACGTATTGTTCAGAGATTAGATTATACGTACAGAAATTCACATGCATTATTGTGATTGAGAAGAAAACGAGATTTTATATACTGTTTTATATTTGAATAATACTGTAATAATGATGTTGTAGTCATTGGAAGTAGTTTTCTATTAAAAGGAAAGACGATTCTTAAACAGAATGAAAGGAAAAAGATATTTGGTTTGGGTTGTTGGTATATTATTGCACCATTTTTCATGGAAATTCCATAAATAAATAAACATGTGGGCTCGCATAGATAGTTAATGAAAGATGAACACGTAGCATTTGATCCCTCTTTAGTGTCAACATCTCTTAGCTGGAGGAGATTTGGTTGGATTTGATGCTGATTGCTTGCTCTCAACTCTATCAGTTGGGCCATGGACTTGTTACATCTAAGAATCAGTTTTCTTCTTCACTGATTTATTTCTGGAAAAACCATTCAATTGCTTCTTAAACCAATGATATATGGTCATTAGTCTTTTTTTTTTTATTATTAAAAACGATTAGTTTACCTAATTTGGAAATTAGCCTAAGTTTCATGACACTCTCTTGATATGGTCAAGGCTATTGGGGTTTGGTGATGCTTGGTAATTACGTGCATTTTGACAAATTGTTATATAGTAATGATGAGAGTGCAACTACTAATTGGGATGAAAATGTTTGAAGTACTAATTTGGTCTTAGTAGGTTGTCATGCTAGTGAGATATTTTAAACATATTTGCTCTATTCAAACTCCTTAAGAGGATCATAACGAGAATCATAATGTATTTCACAGAGTTCTATCTGGAATTTGAATTCCCACTTAGATTTTTCCTGTGTTATTCATTTATTAATTATCTCTTCAAAATATATTCATTGATACTAATTTAAATATTTTAAAATATATATAAAAAAGATAATATATCAATTTCAATATATTTTTAATGTTGAACAAAGGATAATACTAGAAAATCTAACAAAGAATATGAAGTTTTTATTTGGTGTTTTCTTCTCATCATATGTTTAATAGAAAAAATATACATAAGGATGACAATGGGTCAGGTCGGTTACGAACAGTGCCTACATGCTACTATACCTGCAAAAAGATCCAACATCTTATGTACGTTAGATACTCGTTTAAAAATATCTATGTTATTATCTGTCGGATACTCTTTTAAAAATATATGTTGAATTTTTTAAAATCTATGGATAATTGTAAATATTTAAAAAAGATATTTTATAAATTTTTAAATTAAAATGCAAATAAATTAATAAAAGAATATAAAATTAAATATAAATAAA